AAAAAAAACGACAAACGAAAATCGAATCAATTCATCAAGGAAAACAATAATATCGTTTGAATCGGTCATTTTCAATCCATTATATGACGATTCCGTTCATTGAGAAATGTCAGTCACTTTCGATCGAATTGCATTTCAACGATAATCAGTCATGTTCAAACAATTTCAATAAATAAATCACCGATTTACAAGACGGTGTGTGCGTAACTTTGGATAAATTGGTTTGTGATGCATTCAGGGCATTCCGTAACTATTATTGTATGTATCAATTAACCGAACAATATATTTTACTGCTGCATCAGCATGAAAACAATCAATCAACGGGTTAATATGGTCACAATTGCGTTGAACGATTTTTTCTTTCGCTTGTTTGTGTTGTTTTATTGTTTTCAAACATCAAACTTGTATTTGTGTCAACTCATGTAATGTATATTGATTAGCCATCGTTGGAAATTGCGTGTAAAAACGATGGTTCACAATATATTTACTAACATTTCATTCCCCTTGGCCAAGAAGCGAGGGAGAGAAAGAAAGAGAGAGATTTATTGATCGAATCATGAGTTATTGTTTGTCGATGGAAAAAGGTATGGTATTTTGTTGGTTCAGGTAAAATGGTCCATAAAATAAATTCCACCATAATCTCGTCTCTTTTCAAATTGCAATTTATCGTTGAACATTAGAACTGGATCTACCGATGCAAAATTGTACAGTGCACCTTTTATTTTCATCGATGCCGAACAATTGTTAACGGTTGGCGTCAAATAGATTTCGTAAAATGAATTGCAATTGCCGGTGGTATGAAAAATGTCATCTCGCTTGAACATACACATACTATGACAGTCGCAACCCAATCGCTTACCGCATATTGTGTGCCACCTATTGTTTTTCCAAACAAAACATCAACTCTAACTCACCTTAAACTATTTTAACAGGTTTCACGTTACGTTCATAATCAAAGTTGAAAGTTTACCATGGCGATAGAAACTAATATCAAATATTGCATGGATTTTGCTTCACAATATTTATTAGATTTCATTGAAATTTGATTGCGTTCACAATGTTTAGAACCACAATTGTAATGAATAGGTTCACCATTACCCGTCTTTGTCACGCTTTGATGCTCTTTCCGCTGTAGTTTATGAAGAAATGCAAACATACAAACGAACAGAATAAATCAGCATGTTTTAAATTTCAGTTAGGGTTTTCTTTGGAAAATAAGTTGGATTTGTTTTTTCCGCTACGTAGAATGTCATCAGGCAAATATAAAGCGACGTCACATTTTTCTTTATCGCTTTCAATTTTTTATTCAACTTCATTCACTCAATGCAATGCATATTTCTCTGCCATCAAAATTTCCATTTGTATCATAACGCTGTGATGTCTATTGCCGTTTGTTTGGATGTATTTGCTTGGGGTCCATTGTGCCAAACCAATGTTGCTCATATAAAACATCATAAAGTATAATATTCAATAATATTTGCAAATAAGGTAACCGTTCTTTTCTCTCTTTTACTCGTTTTACTTGATGTCATTTTTGCAAACCAATGAACATGATTTCTATTTGATTTGTGTTTGTGATGCAAATTCCTGATTTGGTCCTTCTGCTTTTTATTGGCTTTATTTCGATTTGACTTCAATAAGAGTGACTTCATAAAATGTTTTTCTCCATTTGACATAAAAAAATGGGCGCCATCCGGACTTTTAGTGGGTCAAATATGTGGACAAATAGACCAGTTATATATAACAAACCGACCAAAAAGGTCAACACAAATTGATTGTTGATACATTGTATTGTAACTGTCAGAAAATGCCTCCTTCATCTTTTTCGTCAATCAATACATTCCAAAAGTTATTTACTACCTCGAAACTTCCATGTCAATATTGATACAATTCAAATGTTATCATTATTGGTGGCATAGTTGGCCAAGAATTTTTCCACTCTATTGTAGTATATTCTTCCGAATTTCCAATGGAAACATACAATGTCAATTAAATTGAAGAAATTGGAATTACTTAGCGAACATATTATGCCACCATTATTTTTGAAATTTCAAAAGATTAGTTTAAAATACCAAGTGCGATGATTTTTATCTAATTCCATCAAATGAACGGTTTTAATAATGCTTGAATTAAAGCACTTCTTCCATAAATTATATCTTTTATGGCTTTCTTCAGACCGGACGAATTATGACACAAGGAAACGAAAGGCAAAAAAATCAGTTTTGTTATACATCATAATTTGGGTAGAACTTGGTGAGACCAACACAGCGGTGTTTTTATTCATATCGTATAACATCAGAATAAACGCAATGAAAAGAATGGTTGGCTCACTCATTTTTTATTGCAATTATGCGTCGAAGCAAAGTGCCTCCTTCAGTAAAGCTAGAGCATTTATAAGTATGCTGAAGATATTTTCCAATCATATCTGATTAGTTAGATACCTCCTTCTCTTGCTTACAGAAATTCCCGTAAGTGAGAACAAGAGATGAGATGCGACGTGCTTTCGCAGTCTCTCAAATAGAATTTGAGTTTATCTTTTGCTAATTCGAATATCTTTTATGTTTGGATTTTTTGCAAAGTATTAAACGGATATGTATCCATAGCAATTTATCTGCAATTAAAATCAGAATTTTCATGATATGCTTTTAATTATTTATAAAAAATGATATAAACGTGTGCGAATGAAAATGTTTATGATATCTTTTTGATCGATCATTTCGTTTACGGTTGCTGAATTTAAATGGTTCCATCATTTCTGAATTCCGAAAACAAACGATGCATTCCAACCGTGTAACTACACGCCGTATACGAGTGATTGAACTTGATTTCAATGTGATATAAGCAACAAAGACAGTGTTCATTTTTTTACTGTACGAAATAGAAAACCGACATCCTATTGAAATACGAGTGTTGCACAAAAGATAGTAAAACTATCCGAATATTTTATGGTTTGCCATTTTACGATTGATATTTGTGTGTATGCAGTTCAGGCTAAATGACCTTTTATGACGATATATTGCGAAAAGAAAAAATCAAACGAATCCATTCGTTGCGATGATGAAATCAAAAAAACCATAAAACTACAATGATGCGTTAAGCCCCGTAAAATTATGGATTTAGTAGTTTGTTGACTTGAATACAAATAGATAGAATCAAAAAATTAAAGGACATTGAAAGAAAAATCATCGAACAAAGTGATCAAATGGTTATAATATCATCGCTATCAGTATTTATAATTCAACAAATATTGCCCATAAACCAAAATACTATGTGTGGATGTTGTTCGTTGCTATAGACCATGAATTAATCCGAAAATAGTCGAAATTCTCTAGCAAAGTGGTTTTATTGCAATCAATCAAAATGAAATCAATGTATTTTTGAACTTGATTTTGACTTTCAATACGAACGAACACTCATCTATAACTTCAATTCAAGTATTTATGAGGATTTCGAAACTTTTTTGATTGGTCTTAATCGTAATATTGACCAGACGGTAATACATTCATACATTTTTGCCGTCTGGTATGGAGTCTTGCATGTGAACTAGGCGAAAGTATTTTCACCAAATGCCAGACACTTCAATATTTAATGCAAAAGATTATTATTGGACTAAGCAAATACAGAATTTTTACATTTCGATTCGCATTTCGAGATGTAGGCGTTTGATAGGTATTTACAACAGTTCGAAATCCATTAAATTTGATTTTAATTTGATTTAATTGCGATGCTAGTCGATCAGCTGCTCCGAAATAACAAAATCGTATCCATTTCAAGATTTGGATCCTTTTTGGAAAATATATATGCTAAAGAGCATGTATGGGGTGTTGCTTTGTTTATTTTTTCGAGGAATTTGTAATCTTAAGAATTCGATTTTACATCACGTTCACGAATATGGGCCTTTGAATTTGAGGCCAAACATTGTCCTTTCGATTAAACTCAAAAAGTGTCTGCTATAAATTACGTAATATAAAAAGGGAACGGAAAACAATTGAAATTTGTTTCCTAACAAACAGTAAATTCCTTTCAATTTAATTGTTTCTTCAATGCGACAACAGTGTTTGGCGTCACCACTGTGAATTCAATAATAAATTTTTGACAATAAAACCAAATTTACCATTGACATTTCGATAGTACCACGAGGCGCAAACGATGGATGAATGTAAATAAATCATATTCACACAGCGAACGTTATGTTATGACGTAAACAAACGAGATATGATGCACACACACATCGTGCGTTATCGCTTTAACCGAAATTTTGATCCATAAATAAGTTTTTATTCAAACCACATATAATCAAGATTTGATTGAAATCCAAACTTGAAGCGTCATTCTTGTGTTGTGCGAAACTTTGTGGCTTTTCCATTCGAATAAACTTCAATGTAACAACTGGCAGGAAAGATCGTAAATGTTTTCGTTGAAAGGAAGAATCAAAAACTTAGCAAACATCGTTGCCAAATGTGTACGTTAAACTTGAAAAAAAGAGGTGGAAAAAACATAAAACGGAAATGCAATTGTGAATTTGCAAATATGCCAAGTTTTTTTTAGCTCACAAATTATGCTTGGGAAAGTCGCTAAATGAAATGAAAATGGTGAAAACGAAAAAAAAAACGCGAAAACATTGAGAAGGAAAATATTCAATCACAAACAAAACGAATTGACGAAAGGCACAATCAATGGCTATGCCATATGATCCAACTGTGAAAACAAAGTACACACAATGAAAGCAAAAAAAAATGACGACTAGAACAAGCGATTCGATGCAAAATTGACGATTTCGCGGTATTCGATAAATGAGAATGGCCAAATACAATGACATAATACCATTTTCTCGTCAAAAATCCATTGCCATTGGCACGGACTTTTTTTTCATTAATCGAATGAGAAAATTATTACGTCGTTATCGAATAATCCATGAAAGACAGAGCAAAAAAATGATTTTTTGGGTAAAATTTGATTTATGAAAAATTCGCAATGTAAACTAATGATGGAATACGAACCTTTTTCGCATAAAATTTATTGTGTATAGGTATGAGTTGAGAAGGTTTCGAGCGTAAAATCTTCATTAATCATTTTGCAATGATTGAATTGGCAATGTGTTTTGACGAGCCCGGTTTGCTCGCATTTCCCGGTGACGTCGTTGTAAATGTCAAAAGTAATTTCCAACCGCTTTATTTGACTGGATTTTGCTGCATATACACAAACAAGAAGAAGCAAAAACTTATGAGGGATGTCCGCTTTTGTTCGATTTAATGGCGGAAAATGAGTTTGTTTTTTTTTTCATTCATATTGACGTCGAATCACCAGCAAATTTATCAATTATTCCGCAAGAAAAACGAATAAAAATAAAAATATATATTTTATCCGAACAAAACCATTTAAAACAACAGCGTGATCGTAATTTTAATTAGTATTTTTTGTCTCGTTATCTTTTCCTTTCAAATAGTCACCACCAAGTTTTATCGTGTTCAGTCAGAGATTCATAATGAATCTGAACATGACTTGCACTCTTTTTTTTTGTTATCACACTAAAAAGAAAGCAACACTTCGAAACTACAACATTGACACTCTGCAATCATTGTTCAAACTTTGTGTGCATCGTAGTGACAATTTCATTTTATTTTTATCAGTGTTGGTTTTTTGCTTTTCAGTTCAATGAAAATCCTCTCTGGCGACATAACCATGGTCCATAATTTCACTTTAGTCTGATGTTAATAATGTTATTAATGAATGCATGCCATAAAAGCAGCCACGAACATGCGGAACACCAAAAATTACAATTAATGCGACCAAGTGCGTTCAGTTCGATGGTAGCTCAATGCATCGAAACAACAGCTGTATGCAACACTGGAAATATGGTACACCGAAACCGAAACCATCCAGCACTTTGACAATCACCACGAGATAACATAAAACAACAGAAACGCTGGTGTGTCTACAAAAAACTGGTTTTATCTGACATATTTTTTGTGTTGTAAAAAAGTGTCCGCAAGCAAAACTACAAGTAACAGGCACGAACGAACCAACTACGCGCTTGTTTTATTCGTTATTCGTCCTTACGAATTTTTTTGCGTGTTTCGACTGTTTTCACTGATTCTCGCCTCTTTCTTCATCAGTTGTTCTCATTCCAAAATATTGTAATTCGTATCGATCGTCAATGCGAAGCACAAATTCTCTCGTTGCTAAATGCAATTTTGTGCATTCATGTTGGCCCGCATTTCTTGCTCATATTTGGTATGCCGTTCAATTGTTGGACGTTAAGTAAGCAAAAGAAGAAGTTTATGGAACGAAAAAGTATATGTTAATGCCGGTTTATAGACACTGTACTGGTCGATGCTTTCTTTCTCTCGTTTACGTAAGTATTTTGCGTTGATATATGATTGCTGGTTTATGAAAGAGGAATTCGTAAAGTCACTAGTTTCTTCTCTTTTGGTTTGTCGATCACTGTAATTTTACTTATTATAGCAATGTGTTCGCATTAAATGTGATGATTGACCTTAAATTGATGCAATTTTTTAATTCGGCCAAAGGCTTATTTTGTAAAGTTGCAACTGTTCATCATTTATTTTCGGTCATTTTATTTCAGATGATTATTCGTTTCAATTTCACCATGCTAATTAACTTCAACAAAATGTTCATAATTTACATCAATTCATATAACTCGAACAAGTAAGCCCCGTTATTGTCTGAATCAAGTACACTGTTTTTATTTTTGCATTATTTATTATCAAGTACACAGTTTGGTTTGTTTCGTTTCATTTCGGATACATTTCGTTATTTTTCAAAAACATTCCATTCTTGCGCTCACTTGAATTTTAATTTAATTTGAATGTTCACGATGGTTTTCTATTGTTTTTGCAAGGTTTCTCTTATTCTGTCGTGTTCAGGAGCCACATTAATCTGACTCGGATATGTGCTTCCGTTTCGTAGTTACCTTCACAAAAACTTTTACGCATAACATGACTGTGGCACAATAAAATTTTCTTTGTGAACCATTTTCTGTTCTGAAAATAATCTACACACGAACAGATCAACAACACGAGTCATCAAAAACAACAATAATAGCCAATTCGAGGAGGAAGATCACCACCAACCGTGAGCAAAGTATGAATAAATAAATAAAAACACACACACGAAAAATTATTATTAAAAATGCAAAATATCGCTGTTCGTTTCTCTCGCTCGCTTGTATTCAACGCTATTTTCATATCACACAATGAAACTATATATAAATAAATAAGCTGCGACGGCAAACATACGACACAAGGATATTTTTATAAACATCCAATATAATCTTATTTCTTGTAAAAATTGAAATTCTCTTTCGTTTTTGTTGATTTGATCACACAATTTTATCTTTTGTACGTGTGTGTGTATTTAGGCCGGGGGAAATTAATTTGTATCGGTTTGTTTAAATATTTACGGTTTATTTGTGTTAAAGAATATCCACTGGGCGGGAAATCATCCACGAAATTAAAAAAAAGGTAGTCTGGCCAATAACATAACATATATTACCAATGAAACACTGTGTTCCTTTCTCGCGTGAATGAATATCATACGAAATATAACAAATAATCAAGCGACTAAGACAACGAACGATGAAAATAATTATTATTCGTATCTGGTCAGCATCATATGTATTTTCGAGCGAAAAAAAAAGAATCACACACTATACTAATCATTTATATTTATATCATTTCTCTTCGTTTATTTTCGTTCATTCGTTCGTTTGTCGCGTATTCACTCTGTATCTCATCGTATCGTTGGCGTCTCTATTAATTTTTTTTCTTACTTTTACCACATTCTAAAAGAAAATGTCACAAAAGAATTAATTTGAAATTTAATAAAACCAAAAACTTTTTACTTTAAATTGATTTTAAAATTACGTTCGAAACTTAATGGGTCGTGTGTCTACTTTCTTGTCTTTTATCTATCAGAATTTTTAATCTTGTTTTTATAGTTAAGTTTTATAGTTCATGTGGTTGTTGTTGCGATCTATTTTCTTATTTTTATGTGAAACACTTGAAAAACGTGTTAGGTTTCCAATATTGTGTTGGTCCACACAGCGCTGTGTATCTTCGATCGAATTCGATGGACAAAGTTGCTGACAAACAGCAGCAATAAAACTTGTACCGTTCAATCGTAGCGATTTTTGGTAACTAAATACACCAAGCTTGATACAATGGATTCGAAGTGTAAGCGATTCACTCTCAAGTTCCGTGTGTCTCGCATTGCATGAGCTTGACTTTAATCGGTCTCACTGTGCGTTTTCAGTTTTTCCCAATTCACTTCGGGTCGGGTTTGCTGGTTGAAATTATCGAATGTCGGATAATTTCACTCACAAATATTTGCCGCGTGGAAAATTCACTCAGCCAATGACTGAGCATATTTTCCGGCCCGAGTGTTAAACCGTGTCGTAAGTGCATACGGCATGATGAACTTGAAATTACTGAATGATAGTCGATTCATGTTTTGAATGCTACAACACGTGGTCGTGTTATTTTTCGCTCTTTCTCACATTCGACAGAGAGAGAAATGAGAATTTTTGAGTCACCAACCGGTTTTTACTCGACAAATGAGCATTTTTTTTTCGTTGAGCCAATTTTTTTTTTCATTTTTCAGCGAACAAATTAAACTTACTTGGCAGATCAAATTCATGTGCAAAGCTGAAAAGCATATTTTTAAAAGAATTTCGAGCAAACAAAATGGTAGCATCTGTTAGCTAGTTTTTAACTTAACGAAATGTTGTTATTTGCAATTATGAATTTACCTGGTTCGTATTCATAAACAGCAATTATTTCCGAAGCAATTCCATAATTTCCAAATGGTCGTTTTTCCCAAATGTTGCCATGTTTCGTTGAGTGCAAAACACTAGCAAAAACTAGAAGAATTATGCAAAAAAAATTGCGCCACATAGTTGATGGGTCGATAAAAAGTGTGTTAGGAAGATCGTTATTACGCAAAAACCTAATGGCATTTGAATGCACTGCATTCATGCTTAATGTCTAAGAGTTAGAAAAAAATACAGTGAACGACACTTGTCACATTTTGAAGCGATATTTACATGAGAGATACGTGAGTTCATAAAAGCGGAAAAATGTTCATTTTTTCCTTATATTTGGATTCCATATTGTCACAGATTGAAAATGTATTTAGGCAACAGATACTTTTGATAAAAACTGCAGAATATTTTTTTCTATTGCATTTATCACGACCAGTTTTTACTATGTAAACTTCGTTCAATCTGGATAAGTGAAAAATACACCGCTCGAAACAGATGTATTTTCATGTGTACGCAATGTCAGTAATTTCGAAGCGAGCTCTGACATAACAAGAACACTCCGGTATTTTGCTTCTTCTCACAACATTTTCCACGAATTAAAGATATCCTGAATGTTCGTGGAAATCAAGATATCCTTGAGTTTGGTTCTGACAATTAATGAAGAGGATGCTTATTAATTAATATAATGTCTGCATTCGCGTCGAAATTAAAATATGTAAACTTGTTTCTAATGTATGTATATATCGATGTCAGGCTGAAAAGATCAAGTATAACAGACTGTTAAACAGAGGTTTATTTTCATGTTGATTTCGTGCTTTTTTAAATATATTTTCTCTTTTTCTCTCGATGTGGATTTGTTTGATATTGATTTTCTTCGAAAAATCAAAAGGCACAATGGGATTCATCAGCTAAAGGCCAAAACCAGATTCATAACATACTAAATAACATTGAATTGTTCCCAGCGGTGTAATGTACCGATAAGGAACCGGTTCATAAAATGTGGATATTGTGTGAAAATTGTGTGTTTGTCGATATTTTGAAGATTATTGGTTTTGCTTGCGATAAAATATTTTATTTAACTAAACGCCCACAAATGCACAACAACAGTGCAATGAACGATTGCGAAGGCATCCAACAAAACTCTCTTCCACATAAATTCTCAATGACAATGATACCAATAAATAAGACTAAGAATGCCGGTAAATGTGTTATTCGGTTTGTTCAACATCATATAGGAATCAAGAGTGTATGTTACAAACGGCGAATTGAATGCGAGAGCCAAATCGATAAGATTGTGTCGAACATAATTTGTTTGTTTGTTGTGGATTTATGCTCTTGTCTTATTTCATTCAAGTCAAAATGAATCTTCCAACATTTGACTGAACGCAGTCAGCTAGTCGAATGGCATGCGACACATGTGCCAAGTTGAATGTGTTGGCATTTCGTATCGGCTCGTCGAATACATAAGTGAATAAGAAAAATATCACATCTCAACAATGTTATTTACCTCGTTGCGAAAATTCGATTGAAATTTATCATGAGCATAGAATTGGTGGCTGTCATGCCCTTTTGTTGTTGTTGTTGTTGTGATATAAACGCATTATGGATGTTAAATCAAAAAGGTTATTTCATTTTGACCTGTAATCAGTTTCAGTTCACGCGCTCAAAAACAGACGCACTCGAGTGAAACATTAATTTCACAATAAATAACTTGATGCTTTAAATCCCAAACATGGGCGCCGCATGACGCAACCACATTGCAAGCAGCATTGTTTAAGGTCAAGTTCTGGGTTAAGTGACGCTTAAAATCAATTAAACGTACTGGTTTCAATTTTTTTCTATTTCAAAAGTGTACTCGTACTCTTATGCTATTATTAATATGTGGCAAATTATCAACAAAATTTCCAACTAAAATCGGTAATAAACTTAATTCCATAAGTAGAACCCATTTCAAATCTGCACCGCCAACGCAAACTGCTTGCCATGTTCAACATGCTGTTTTTCATTCATTTTTGGTGTGACAGTGAACGTGATGAACATTTCAAACAAAACTAAATTAAACCACATGCGATACAAAACATTTTCGCTTACTCTCAGCTGGATGGTTTAATTTAAGCGATGGCTTCCGCCACTCTCACTTTTGATTATAACACGTACACTATCGAGAAAAAAAAGGTTTTGTTAAACGCTCATAACACGTCTTACTCCTAGAAATGTGTCCAATGTCAAAAATAATGTGTTTATCCTTTGAATTATTATGTAAATATGTTTTTCAATGTTTTATATTTATTCAGTTTTTTTACAAAAATCAAATATTACCGTTTAACTTCTTTTCGGTAGTGTACGCACATTCAGTATTCAAATTGTAATATTCGCTTCTAATTCCAATGCCTAGTTGCCTTAAATTTATTTTAACTTCAAAAACGGCACATGTTGCTACCCACCCAATGCGATTATACATAAAAATATATTTTAAATTCATCAGAGACCATTTCATGTTTGCACACAGGTGAAAATGAACAGCTGAATCGATATAAGCAGCTTCAACGGAATTTCTGCCATTTTGTTATATTTATGGAGTAAAACAACAACTGTTGTTATATTTAATTAATTCCCATGACGTTCGAATGCGACACGTTTTATGTTCTTTAATGGCATTTATTCAATCGGAAGAGAACGAAAATGAAAAGCACCCATTTAGTTTCCATTAAAATTGGAATTGGGCAGCCGACATAAATATATGCATATAACTGATAAAATGATAAGATAATAATATCCGTCATTTGACGGGTTGTAATTAGTGTGTATTTTGTTTGAAGAGGATAGAAAAAATGTGGTGGATTTTGATGCGCCAAATTATCTAACCTATATACGAAATGAAAATTGCCCTATCATTTTCAGATTCATTCCCTTGTCCCAATTTCCCAATTGGCGCATAATCTAATAAAATCATCATCCCAAATCGCTTCAAATAAAGACATTCCATTGAGCTCATTGTGAAAACTTTTCACTTTGGCAATCAGCTTTTATATTTATTCAGTCTGTATAAACATTAGACACTCAAATCCCTTTAAAAAAATTCTTTTTGCTTATTTTTCGAATCATTTGATTGAATGAAAATTTACAAATGAATAAAGCCAAATAAAAAAAATATAGACTTTCATTTATTGATATTGAATTTACATGAAATGCGAGGGATTTCTAAATTTGAATTTAATGAATGGCAGCAGCCGGTTTGCCAAGCATACCAAATAAAAATGCAAAAGCCTAATCATCCTTTTGCAATTGAATGGAAATTGCTCGCATAATTTTCCGTAGTAATGTATTCTATTGCCAGCCAATTCATCTATTTTGACACGATGAAAGCGTCGATTCAAACGATTATTATGCAGCAAATTAGATTTTATTTCAGCCACTTAATGGAGTTGCGTAAAGTTTGTTCATAGTAAGCAATTTTAAACCTGAAACGCAAACATTTTGAATTGGAATGGAATTTTATATCGCATTATGAAGTGAATAGTGGATGATGGCCTTTAAGTGGTTGATGGGTAAAATGACCATCATCATCACACCGTAGTACAAAGTGGTGCAATTTTTTGTATGTTATTTTAGTGATTCATCATGTTTTGCTTTGTTGCATTCCATTATAATTTATAAACCATTTATTTTATGCTTGTACAAGCATAAGCGTATTATCCGATCGACACACAATCGCCTGCAACTTTTTACGGAAAATTGCACGCAGGTATTTACACAAAACATTTCAAAATTGCATTTAGTTGAACGAGAAAAGCTGCCAGCAAAATTCAGTGCTGCAATTTTGTACATTTTATCTTTTAGCTCTACATACAGAGCAATTCAAAGATTGCAGATACCGAAAACAAGCTTGTTTTGTATCTCAGTTGCATTGCTTATCTTTACCCTTTCTCAGTAAAAACATAGATTCTTGCATCAAATGTTCGTTTTCGTATATTGAATAGCCAGAAGGAGTGCTATTTTCTGACATATAACTCACTTAAGCTAAAATTAATGTTATTTAAATAGAGATGATCTTTCCTGCCCCAATCTACCAATTTGCAAATTGAACTAACAATGTTAGCTTTTTGATACGAAGTATGAGAAAGAGTCACTTCATCATATGGATCTAGACAGTAGTCAGTAAGTTCCATAACAGTAATTTTAACTGGAATTAGAACATAATCGTGTTACATCTGATGTTCCATTGTGTTTTGCATTCGAAATATATTTATCACTTATTCGTGCAGCGAACTGTTGCGATGACACATCCGAATGTTGTGGTTTCGAATGAAGTGTTTCGGTTTCGAAAAGGCTTCATTGGTTCGACGTGGTTTTCATGTCACACGCTTACATA